TGATCCGCTCTTGTTGATATTACGTAAGTTATGGAGACCCAGATAGACATAAGTATGCCGTTTAAGAAACCGTAATTTGCTATTATATAAACGAAGCACACGACAAATTTCCGTTTAACTCGAGAAATGAAGTCAGATAAACGTTCTTGAAAATCACGCAGAGAGATAAAACTGGCCAACCATACTAGTAACATTAGTGTTCGCACCGAACCACATTCACGATATTATCTTCATACCATGAACGAGGTTCCATGAAGTCAATAAACTTAGTACTAGGTGTCATCATCAATCATCCTTAAGTCCTTTATTCATTAATTGTAACAGGATTCTTTGAGAATACTGAGAATTGAAGGCTAAATAACCTGTATTCAGATTCAGCTACCAAGACTAACGAGTACTGCTCAGTAATACTTGGACTGAAGGAGATGAAATTTGAATTTTAGCCTACACCTGTGTGGTCTGAAAATGTTATTGAATTATAAGAACTAATGGGCTTGTGGAATGCTAAACACAATGAGAAATTTGTTCATGTGACCACAAGCTTTTCAGAACTATCACTATAGGCGTAATCCAACAAACCACGGGCTTTTTCTACGAACATTTTCGACGTTTTAGCCCGAATCCCAATGTATAGTGGTGGTCATACACGTCAATATGCAATAAAAATAACTGTGTAAGATATTTGGATGACTGAATTAGTTGCACAAAGAATCACTGGAAGAAGGATTTGCATGAAGGATGGTTATCGCTTCTACAAATAAGTACGAGAACCAACAACTATGAAAGTTGACTAGAACCGAAGATGTGAATAGACAGTACTACAATATATCAATCATCTAACTACTACCAAGTGAAATAGCGCATTCCACGATAAGTATCACAAGCGAGTTAATCAAATAAACATTTGAATTTCTTGGACGATAGATGTTTCTATTTCAGCTTGTTTCCTAGAAGTGTTTTAATCAAGCTGAAATTATAAGGGATAAGGCCTATGACAACGGGTGTTTTCTATAGTCTGGCAAGTTTTGAGAATCCGAGCCTGGTTCGCGAATACTGAGTTGGTGTTTTAAAACCCATATGACCAAAATGGGAGACATCTCCCGATAGAGTATGACCCAAAATCAAGAAGACAATTGGAACCATTCAGATAGCACATTATCTCTGAAATCAAGTATCTGAAAACAGATTCTTCGCTGCAAGTAGATAACCTTTGATGGATCAGCAACCTAAGCTTGGACAAATGAACTGTAGTCGAGTAAGCTGTTTCATTCGGTGGTTACGATAAGGCAACATCTGGAGATTAATTTCGACACAAGCAACTTGGGACTTAGCAATAAATTTTTACTACATCCAATGGCCTGATAGTAAAGTCCTATCATCCTCAACCAATGAGTTCGAACGCTTGCCTTATTCGGTGGAAGCTGTGAGTAATTAAAAGTTGTCATGGTATTGCTCAGAGAGCAATTGAACTTGTTCCAGATATATAGGTTACATCAAGAGAGATGGTCATAAAACAAAATCTTTAAAGTCTGACATTTACTGTACTTAATATGTGGGTGAACTCGTGTTGATTACGTCAGAATTAATGGCAGTACTGACTAAATATAACAGGACGACTACTATATCAACCCTAAACATTGACACATCTACTTAATATCATGAAAACCTTTACGGTATCTAAATAGGATCGCAAGTACTTTAAAGAGCCATTTTACCGAAACTTGACACTAGTTTAAAGTTGGCAAATAACTGACTTTATGCAGTGCAGACAACATATACACATGATATCGTTTTAAGCTGACCCCAGAATGAATTAAAAGCCATATTACCATTCAACATCTATTTCATCTTAACGCTTGGATGGCTTTTTCGCGGTCGCTGACTTGGATGAAGCAGGTTCAGGAATTTTCGGTGGAGCAGCTGGAGTCTTCGCAGTTGGAATTTTCGGTGGCGGTGCGACTTTCGATGCCACTTTTGGAACAGCAGGTTTTGCTGGAGCTTCTACCTTTACAGCAGACGGCTGAGAAGTTGGTGCGACTACTGGTGCTGGTGTAGGGGTAGGAGCTGTTTTAGCTTCTACTTTGGGTTTGGTTTCAGCTGCAGGTGCAGGTTTTTGAACGACTGGAGTTGTTGGTTTCACCATAGCTGAATTAAAGCTCTCAATTACGGCTTTCTTTCTTTCTTCGAGCCTGTGCTGACGATTAACGCGAGACTCACGCTTTCTCTGACGCATTGCCTCTGCTTGGTCGCTAAGCTGTTTGGCTCGAAGACGTTCTGCTTTCTTCTTGTGAATATGATCAATTAGGACCCTTTTATTCTTGAACTGGTTACCTTTGCATTGTTGGTATAACAAATGGTACCTTAAAAGCATAAGTTTAGTATCAGAACTTACAAGTGTTTATCGATTTTATGAGCCTCCCTATAACGCTTTAGTAAACGCCTAAGAACCCTCATTCGCCTCATCCATAGGACCTTTTGAGGCATGCGTGCATCTGCCGTACCTTTCCTTTTACCAGTTCCTGAGTGACGACCTTTCCGTCGTGCAATTAAATTTTTCCGGCATCGAGAACGAGAATGTACTGTCACAGGTTTGCGGATAATCAAGTTATCCTTAAACAACTTCCGTATCATTTTTCGAGAGTTGGCATTCTGGATGGTTGTAGTTTCATTGGGGTCGAGCCAAATCTTCTTTTTTCCACATCCGAATACAGCTGATGCCAAACGCTTTTGAGTGCGTAGGTTGCTGCGGACGAAAACTCATAAACAAAAACTGTAAGACGCTTACCTCATTTCCTAAGGCCAATCGCGTGGAAACCGAAAAGTGCGCTGGACAAATCAGTGAATTCCAATATTCGAAACATTCAAACACGTAGTGGAAATTACAAATAGGATTTTATGTCTCATTAGTTCCATATAAAAAATATCCGATCGAATAAATCACTCAGAAAGGCTTGGATTTCCAGCCTTCAAAGCAGGAGCTAGACAAACCTGAGAACTATTAACCGATAAGCCTGGTCATCATATTAGGATTTAGAAAATATTATTAACACGGAGCTGTTTAAATATCTGGACGAAAAATTGATTCTTAATCAAACAGGATTTTCGTGTCACATTAAGTTAACGGTCTCCATTAATTTCAGTTTCAGTATCCTTGACAAGGATGGTAGGTCGGTCGAATTCCTCATCGAAAGGTGGCTTGGGAAGACCTTTTGCCGACTTAGCTCCCACACACTGTACATGCTCAATTGCTATAGTATCCTTAGTGAGACATAGTCAAGATGCTTGCATCCAGTGCACAAGGTGAGTTCTTATCTAGATGGGGTACTAAACCCAAAACACATTTTCACTAAAGTATATGAGTGCTCGGAGAAGAGACCACAACATACGAAAACCTTTTTCGGCTGCTGCATTACTATATGTAGTTGTTTTCAAGTCATGATTTACTATTACTCTTGAGTAATTTTGTTCTTGCACGCATGGTAGTGATTCGTCGTCGCCAATGAACTAGTAAGTAATGCCGTCTCCAATATGCATTTGCACACACTTCCTAGAATTAATTTCGAAGATCCAACCACGATACTAACCTGCTGATGCTTCTAGGTCAGCTAGGAGATCAAAGGAGGCAGCCTCACTGCTTATTGTTGCCCAAACTTCGACATCGTCTGCAATTAACGGAGTCGATGAATAACCTAGTCTCAGTAATTCGTTGACATTAAGAAAAAACAATAGGAAACCCACAATACTACCATGTGGTTCATTGCCTTCGGCTGGTTTCCATTCGGATAGTGCCTCATTTACTCTCACCCTTTGTTGTCAGATACGGAGGAAGATTTTACCCATTCGTTTGCTGCAGATGTTATTCCAAAGTTCAATAGCTTCTGCAAAGGTTCGAAATGAGAAACCTTATCAAATGCCTTACTGAAATCTTTGACAGCAGACAGCCCGATATCTTAAGCTGTTCTCCACTCCTCTTTCACTGTTAAGAAGTTATTCAAACAACAGTGCTTGTTCCGAGTTATAGGATCGTATAGTTCTACATGGCCTAGTAACTTGTGCGAATAATTTCCCGAGTGACTTAACCACCATGCTAGTCAAACTGACAGGTCGAAAGTTCAGTATATTTTGTCTCCTGCCATACTGAAATATTGGGCTAGTTATAGCATATTTCTAATCCCTAAAAACTTGAGCCAGTGAGAGGGACCTGTTGAACAGCATCATGAATGGGATGAGGATGGCAGAAATCATGGGTGTAACCATTCGGGATCTGATGACTTACTAGGTCTGGGTTTGATGAGCAGTCGAGGAACAGCTTCCTCGGTCACGTATACTGGTCGGTATTTGGATAATGTTGTGATAATGAGTGTTGTTATTAATATCCGTAGAGAATACCACGGCGAAATATTTTGATAGAGCTCCCACCTTGGCCGAATCTGATTCAGCTAGTACATTTGAACCCTCATGAAGTAATACCGGAGGAAGCTCATCACTAAACCTTGTCTTTCGTTTAATCTACGAATACAATCGTTATGGACTGTTACGGCTTTCCTATGCCAACTGTATTTCGTAAGTGTTATGATTTCTTGCTGTGGTCCTATTACATCTACTCCCAATTTTCCAATAACCACCCTTAAACGATTAGTGACCCGTTGACAAGAACAAATCCCAGCAGTGTTTCCTACGCTGCAGAAGTCTCTGTGTTTCCCCATCAATCAACAGAACGTGAAGTGAGATTTAAGGTGTAGACCATGGGATGGTTAGAGATGATACAGACTCAAATATGACTTTAAACTTATTAAAATCATCTGCGGACAACATATCTACATTGGCTGACCGATCTGTTGAAACAGCGAATTCTCTGATTGTCGGGATGTTATGTCCCTAGATATTCGAACGAGATGGGGCAGATACATTAGGTAAATTGATCTTTGCTGGTGCTGATAAGTACTAGATTTCGATGACATCACTGTCATTTGTAATCAGATCTAGTGGTGAATCTCCATGTCCCGAACCAGTAAATGTCGGCTTTGCGTCACATTGCGCGAATGCACATTGAATGGTATTTGACAGCAGACTGACATCAAAACACCCTGCTGACTTTGTAAGCTTTATCCACTTGAGGTGTAACGTTATGAATTTCCCAACGACGACGCAAGAATCAACTGTACTGAAAGTACAGATACGACAGCATAGAGTCGTCAGCACGATATGCTCGACATTATTTTCCTCCTAATGTCACATGTGAGTTTGATTAAACAACTATCAACCTCATATGTCCCACTACCACGCGCTTCCTGTTCTCTCAACTGTATGCCAGAGTGAACTCTAACATAAAAGTACAATTCATTCCTTCCTATCATCAAACGTATCACTATCAGTCTACGGCGAGCTACGTTTCTGCAGCAACGATTATATTGGGACTGTCAGTAAACTTAGATCGGACGTTTCATTCCCAATACTACGAGCGTTTTTGTCGCACACACCGAGGTGTTTTAGAAATCACTAGTTCTACCATAGCACGTCTCAAGAAACCTGACTTCCCAAAAACCCTGGACTCTGAGGTTTGTTTCGCAATTATGTTTGCCAGTTCCTAATTAATAAGTGCATTCTCGCACTTAACTCTATCTTCAAATGACCAATGAGGCCGCATTTGAATATTCAAATTATTGGCTTTATGTACGTTGTTCAGCATAACGTCCCAATCCCGATTACTTCTTAATACTAGCTTCAAGAACCTTTTTGATTGTCCTTCGCCTTCAACCCACTTACCGAGTTTGATTAACTTAGTAATTTGTACTCCTAAAACCCAATCCGGCAGTAGATTTCTGATAGCGGATTTTACAAACTCCAGATCATGTGCACGCCGTTTATCAGGATGACTTTCGATTAAATCCTCCACGTTCCAAATAATTAAAATGGAAATCGATCGGACCCCCTTCAAATCAACTTTTCATTGGGTTTTCGCTTCTTTCCCACTAACTACCCCGTGATCACGGATGTTTTCTCTTTTAATTTTGACTTCAGAGCAAATCTATTCGTTTATAATATCCTATTCTCTTGCGACAAAGTTTTACTCTCCGCACATCCTACAGTTGCAGTCATCTAATTAAGCGATGGGTGGTAGTTTCTTTGTCGCAAGAGACCTATTAGAACTAAGTTTGGCAGCGGCCTGTATATGGGTTGTTTCCTCTTTAAATGCTTCTAGAGTTAGTTTCTCGGACACCTGATCAGCTACAACAGTTGAGCCAATGGCACTAGCGATAACAATTTTTTCTAACTCGTCGTCTGATATCAGGTCCATTGAATGAACACCGCCACTCGTCAATTTCTTCAACTGAGTGAAAATTTTCAAGGCCTCATCTCGGAAAATCGCATTAACATGGCAGATGAGGACTGTTTACAATAAGGTTTGTACGCGGTCGGCAAAACGTTGCTAAGCATACACCAGTTTTACTGCATACCATCTTCAATAGGAAAAAGAAACAACAATCTGCTGCACCGACTCCTTTTGGTTGACCATTCAGGTATGCACATAACAAGAATGAGTGAGATAATTGTGAAAAGATCTGTTTGGTATTCTTCAGATAAAAATTTACAGGCTCCTGGGTGAAGTAACCAAGTTTTCGACAATCGTCCAGCTTAACATTTAAGCGATAGAATAAGGTGCCGAAAAAGAGAAATATAGAGAAAGGGGTGAGAAGCAGAACAGAAAATATTCATGTTTAAAGCTAAGTAATGATTTAGCTCCGAAATAAAACAAAGACATGATTACTCAGACCTTTCACCGTATTAGAACACTAACTGTACACCTGCACTTATGTCGGTTAATGAAGACAAGTCACTAGTAAGGTAACGAATGTGTAATTAATCATATGAACAGAGGAAATTCATAACAATTAATTTGCTAGCAATAATGTTGATTTACATAATAGGATGATGAAGCATGGTGATCTGGTGCTTTAATGAACATTTTATTGACCCTTTTTCTTTTTTAAGCTGTAGCTCAAGAGGTCACGAGTGAGCTCTTTTACACCATAATCAATATCGCTGATTAGTAACATCCTGTTACATCGTGAGGAGCCGTTAGCAAACGAAATTTTCTGTCTCACACAAATGGGTAGATTGAGGTTATCGCCACACCTTCATGAATGCTGGTCAGATAAACCACCCTCGCTGCTTTGTGATGTTAGGCTCCCTTACATTTAATGGTAGATTTTAAATCATGTTTTTGTTTAAGCTTTATTTTTGTACACCTTGTCGGAATACACTTTCTCTACCAGCTCTACGTTACAAGCAAACCAGATAACTTTGGCTTCTGTGTGTTGGACCGGAATCAGTACTCATTCAGAACCGGAGTATTTCACCTCTGTGGAAATGAGCCTTTTTGAAAGGAAGGTAGTCAATTGCCATGGGTTCTTGAACAGTTGATTGAGGATGCCGTCTACTGCTTTGCCTGAAGCATTGAAACGAATGTGATATCGGTGTTAGGATACGTCAACATATTTACTACGACTAAGTAATTCTGTAGCTCTTTGGCAGCTTCAGTGTCCACAGAAGTCGACGTAAAGACTTTCGGTTTTCCTCTAGATGAATCCGTCAACGGTTGCATAATTTGTCCACAACCCGGTAAGAATCGGATATTAAAGTTAATGGAACCTAATAGATTCTGAAGTTTGTTAAGGAATTTGATGTGAGCTGTTTCTCAATGGTCTCTATTTCCTTTATTGATGGTGCAATTCCTTCTCGGCTTATTGCATGTCTGGGAAATCTTAAAGTCTGGACTCAGAAAACACAATTACTTTGATCATGTTAGTTCCGTTTTTATCTAACTTTCTAGGAATGGATCGCATGTGTCGTTCT